GTGTTCAAGATATCGCCATGAAATGTTAGGAAAAGATTCAAATTCTGCTTTTTGTAGGAAGCATCTTGTATCCTAAAAAAACTAACGAAACTTAATAATAGCCAATTAGGAGAAAATGTATAAAATAAAATTACAAGGCAAACTGCAGCATCAAATCAACTTAATGTGTCTTAGAAAGTAAGGAAATTAAAACTATTTTAAAACCATGTGGACATCTTTTTTGTAAACAAAGCTCCTCAACCAATGAAAGCGTGTGAAATGTGTCACGTGACGAAGACGACCGTCTAAACACTTTGCAACAAGCGCTGTTCTGGATTAAGAAAAACATACTTCGACGTTTCAAATCATTATCAAATTTGGAAGTAGGGCAGATAAATAATGTTCTTCATGGCAGCTTATCTATTTAAGGGGTCTCTAGAAAAACTCGGGTGATTTACTTTGATACTCTTTTCAAAAAATTGTCTCTTCAAAACGCATCAACAAAATTTAAAAACTCAAAGACGAGGCTGTAGCTAACTACCTGAACTCAGAGCGGTTTGATGAAATTCGTAGAAATAACGAAGCAGGAGGAAATTACAAGCAAACGCAGCGAGCAGCCTTGCAAAATCCGGTCACAGCAGTTTGGGAAGAAAATGGCAGCAGCTGCTGACAAAATGTCTACATCCCTACTATAGAACTGATGCCCCTCGCTGGCCCCCCCTTCACCAGGTTTATCCTTTTGATTTCTGTTTTTGATTGGTTTTTTGCATTTTTTAGCTAATTAGAACAGTGCTCTCCACTGATTACATCATGCAGACTACTAACATCAGTAGTCTCAGTTCAGGGGTTGCAGGTCCTGTAAACTGAGGCCACACTCCGCATTCCAGGTCGGCTGCATAAAACGGCTCTGAAATAAGACAATGTAGACTTTGCATGACCATGCTCTGTCCCGTTACCATGATGTTACATTTTATATCACATGCAGTCACATGTCTTTTCACGGGTGGTATAACATTACAAAAWTTAATGTATTGGTAAAAAATGCTATGCTGTATTTGTTTTTCTTTGTGTAATAATCAGATGTGTAAAGTAACTAATACTTCTTTACTGTACTTAAGTAGATTTTTGGGTATCTGTATTTTACTTGAGTAATTATTTTTCAGCCTACTTTCTACTTCTACTCCTTTCATTTTAAAAAAATACAAGAAGTAGAAAGTTGTTACTTTTATTTCATTTTTGCTTGTTTTCATTCCAGCTTGTTATTGTAAAAAATTAATACTTTCCACTTAAACTGTGCCTCCTAGATAGAGTGAATTTAACTGTGGTTGAATGAGAAGTATAAATATATAAAATTCTGATACCGTATTAGTTTGTACACAAACAAATCATGTCACACTCCAGCAGGACATAATCATTAAAATAAAAGGACTGTACTTAAGAAGTATTTGTACTGTATTTCATGAATTATTTTATTGCATTTGGCCGCAGCCCTTGGATAGATTTTCATTTTGGGGAAAAAGTTTAGGCACCCTTGAGACACACACACACACACACA